AAACGGAGCCCTGACATTCGAAACTATTTAAGTGAAATATGTGGTTACTTAGGTGTAAACTATCGAATGCCACCTGACCATATTGATCACCGTTGGTTATCAACGTTTGATGCTATTGAGTGTAACATGTCACTTTTTCCTGCTCTTAGCGTGTTGTACTTTTTTTGGTTAAAGAAAGAGGAACAAACTATCTACATGGATGATTATAAAAAACTAACGGAGGTAAAAATTTAAAAACGTCAAAAACTGCGAAAAAAACTTTTCTATGCAGATATAATGTTTTATTCGTGAAATTTTATATTTTTAGAACTTGTCAAATAATGTAAAAAAAAGGATATACTCAATTGGCGCTAAATGCGAAAAAAAGTCTTTAACTGAAGCTGGAAAAGAAAGAAAGAAAAGAATAGTAAGCAAACTTTTCTACAAGCGAAGAAAAACCGAACTGCATGCTAACTTCTATATTGCAATCCTCCTGATTTTCAAGTCATTTTTTTTAATATTTGAACAAAAAGAACCGAAGATTCACATTTTATACGATGAGCTAAAATCAGTGGTTAAATCTTTTTTAGTCTGCTTTATGAAACTAGAACTAATTAAGGATGCATCGGGTAAAAACTAACAATCCTTGACGTAACAGACTTCAAATTTCACAAAATTCAAAAAGATTGGTAGGGTAAAGGAAGGTATGTTCGTGATAAATTAACTAGATGTGTAATTACAAAGTTAATTTCAGTAATTTTACTTAATTACTTTAATTGTTTGATGTACATAGAGTAAAGTTACTAGAATCTATGCAGTTTTGGGATTTTAAGTCCTTTGATAAGTTTTTATAAAAGCTCAAAAGTCATTGAGAAAAGTTAGGTAATTTTGTGATATGATATTTAATTTCGTGATAGTGGTTAGGTAATTTCGTGAGTTCACAATAATATTTAAATTTTTCTTTATTAATTAAGTATAACATCTGGTATAATATAACAAAAAATATCAACACTTGTTTTGAATTCATAACTATTCAATCAGACTTTAAGTTCATAAAATATAAATATAGTCAGGCTTATAAGTTTTTTTTTTTTTTTATTTTTTTTTATTTTAATTTACCTCCTCAAGGCCACTACAGACGAGGAGGCTACTTATTCGTGGCTATAACCCTCTCTCAACTCTATAACTCCGAAACACGAACCTTGACGAACAAGGTCGCTGCGCGGAGAAACGAGTTGAGCGCGGTGACGTGGTGGGGATCGAACTCGGAACCACTCGTTTATGAAGCGAGCGCTCTACCACTACACCACTACCGCAAAGTTTACAAAATTATAATAATACTTTCATTACTGTTAACAAAATTATAATAATACTTTCATTACTTTATATTTATATATATAAAAAAATATACTTTTAACATAGGTAGCTTAGAAAATAAAATAACAGACCTACAAAAAACTCTTAATATAATAACTATAATATTAACCATACTTATATCTGATTAACTTATTTTTCTAAATCACATTCTTGTTGACAACATGTATCACACATAAATACCTATGTCCTCATATGTTTGACAACTCTCATGATAAGGTACTAAACAATAGGAACACTGCACCCATTTTTTTCCATTTTTTTTTTTAGAAAAGCTTTTAATAAATGCTAGATTCAATATTGTATGAAAAGTTGTCCGATTTGGTTTTTCTCCAGGATTTTCCCTCATAAAGTCATTTAAGCTAGTGGCCCAGTTTGACTTAAGTGGCTTGTATATTCCTACATCTAGTGGTTGTAATAAATGACTAGTATGAGCTGGAAATGTAAATAAATATATTTCATTTTCTTTTGCAAGTAATATAACATCCATGTTAATGTGTGATGCATGTGAATCCATGAATAATATCACAGGTCGTTCACTTGGAATAGAATCAATAAAAAATTTAAACCATTCCAAAAATAAGTCACTATTAATCCATCCTTTTGGAGATAATTTTACCATACAGTTTGGTAAACAATCAGCTTTAAGATTATCGTTCCATCTAACGCCTTTGAATATAATTAAAGGTGGAATCCATGATCCATTGGCACATACACATCCTAAAAGTGTATGCGTTTCTCCACGATCAGCATAAGTTCTTTTATAAACATAACGTTTACCAATAGCAGTGACTACTTTATTAGGCTTTACTACATAAGATAGTCCAGTTTCATCACAATTCCAGTTTCATCACAATATCTTTAATACCTAATTGGATCATTAATGAATCAAGTTTTGAATAAAAATCACTGATCATATGACTGTTAGCCATCGATGCCCTATAAGCAGCAAGATTTTCAGGAACTCTAAGTGTAAGATTATACCTCTTTTTGAAATTCACCCACCACCACTTGCTAGCAGATTCATTATCTTCATTGAAATAAGATCCACGTCCAGATTCGTATAGAGAAAGATATTATCTTCATTTAACTATATAGTTATATCGTGCTTAAAACAATTTTTAATGTCATTATATTTAATAAAAGAAACATGATTAAAAATGTAAATTCATTTGAGGTGAAAACGTTAAGAAAATGAGTAACTGCGATAAGGAATCATAAGTTATAGGAAGTTAATAAAAAAACAAAAGTTTTACCATTAAATCAAGCATGTTTTCTAGTTTAATATTTAATAAAAATAATTTACTTACCTTAAAACACAAGTCTGGAAATAAAAATGTTGGACAAGTACTCCAAACAAATGTGCTGAACGCACATAAAATAATGCTAAAGAATGTACAAACTGATAGTAAACAATTGACGTATCACATGCACCCAACGACTATTTGTGAATCGACAGTAGTACCCCGGGTACCATTTGACGCAATTTCGATGTTTTTGACTAATAGGTATGTTCGCTACAAATGCCGAAAGAAATATCACGAAATTACATATATCACGAACATACCTTCCTTTACCCTACATTGGCAAAAACACAAACACAGCTCTTCTCAAATTTAGGTTAGTAAATTTGTATTAACTGAAGCAAAACAGTAATAATATTATTAAATTCGATTTTTATATACGCGACTTTTGATATTAGCCTAATACGATATTAAAAAATAATCAATAAACTTATGGTATTTTTGAAATATAATTTAACGAGAAAAGTAACGAAAATCTTTTAAATAATATAGACTTATATAATATAGATGATCCTATCCGAACAGAGTTTGAATCGCGTGTTAAAAGAGCATTTCTCGATGGTGCAAAGTATATGCAAAAAAAGATTCCTTTATCGAACGAGTTATTAAAACTACTATCCTCTATTGATCCAACGTGTGTTGGAAGTACAGTTGCGAGTCAAATGACGCAGAAGCTGAAAGAATTTTTACCTAACATTATAAAAATTGACGAAGCAGACTTATTTGACAGGGAAGTTGTTGCGTTTCATCTCGCTAAAGACTTACCAGCAGTAAAAGGAAAAAGACTTGAGCAATGGTGGTCCGAGGTTTTTGTATTGAACCGATACAACTTACTTACCACGGTTATTAAAGCTTGTTTGTCAATATTTACTGGACCTATGATAGAACAATCGTTCAGGTAACTTTTTTGAACTGAGAGCTTCAAGTTGTAATTTAAAAGTAACTATTAAACACTATTTATAATATTATTACTAATTTAATTAAATAATTATTATAACATAATTATATTATAGTAGTTCAGGTAAGTCAAAAACGAAGAAAAATTTCTTCAGACTATGTATTTCTTTTTCTTTACTAGTACCATGAATGATGTCATAAACAAGAATTCTTAATGTAGAAACGTTTTTGCAATTCAAACAGCTAAATTTGATTTGCGTTCAAAGAAAAGCAACTCTATAACTCAATACCGTCGTCAAAACTTTTTAAAGTCGCCAATTAATAAGAAATTATGCGAAAAAATGATACTTTTGAAAAGTGTATACGAAAAGAGACTTGCAATTGTACGACTGGACAGAAAGCGAAATAATGATGCAATAAATTTTGAACCACCGACAAACAAACTGAGAAAAGTTTCAGTCCATAAGCGAAGTGATATACTTAAAAAAAAAGTTTTAAAACAATAAAAAAAGAAATCTCTTTGCTGATAGCTAAAAGAGCAATTTAAAAAATGTAAGTATACAATTTTTTTAAAAAAGAGAAGAGTTTGACACGCATCGCTAATTTTATTTTAAAAGTAGGAGATCATTCGCTCTTTTGCGCTGGAATTTTTATTAAACTTTAATTAAAATGCTTATTAATTTTTGATTTACTCTGCGAGGGAAATCTTTTAATCTTTTTGACTTTGTTTGTTAACTAAATATAGCGGTCCGTAATTTATGGACAACAAATTTACTGGTTATATATACTTGTTACTGTTTCATTTGATGACAGTAATAAACAGAAAAAAATTTATAAATTGTATTTTTGAAAACTATTTAATTATCCGGAAAATACAAAAAATTTAAAAAATATCCGGAATTCCGGAAATATCCGGAAAAAGATAATTCCTGATATATATATACACATATATATATATATATATACACACACACACACACACACGCACACACATATATTCTTTATAAAAATGGTTTTGTTATTTTGCTTTTTATGCAAAACACCTGTTTGTTACGAAAAAAGTTTTTTTATGTTTAAAGTATCCTGGTTATTTATAAAATGAAAATGTAAAAATAGCAAATTCGATCAGGCCGTTGCTGACCATTATATTCTGCAGAAAGCGTATTCTAAATTACACTGAATAAACCTATTGATAGCCTAAAATTAAATTTAAAAAAGCATGACAAAAAGCTACATACTGTTAAAAGCACAAATTTGTTTAACTATACTTATGTTGGCTTTGCACAAACTGAAAAGAAATACCAGTTTGTAGCTGATTTCAAACTTTGCACATTGTGCATAGTCATGTGTATGTTTTTTTATCATTGTAGATACAAACTTTAGAAAAAACTCTTATTTCAAAAAAACCATAATAATATTTTTACAGCATACTATAGAGCTACATACTTTTACTAGATTTGCATGTTCCCACAAACTATCAACAATATAAGCACAATGGTCATGAACCTATAACAAAAAAAAATTAAATTAACTTCAATTAATTAATTTCAAAACTATAAATTAAATGTTTATTGCTTCAGTGCCCATAATTTTTAAAATAGATTTTATTTGCATACAAAAAGCCTTACAAAATATACTAATAAATATACTATATCTAAATATACATTTCAGATGTATTGACCTTGCAGAATAATGAAAAAAAAACATTTAATATTTTATCTGTTTAAGAGGAGGAAAGATAAAAAAACTCATTTACAGGTGGCCCTTCATCAATGTCATAAAGTTAGGTGCAACTTTGAATCTTTAAAATCAGTTATTTAAATAAATTTGAATAAACTTACTTCAGTCTTGAGAAAAAAATCTATAATAGCTCTGATTTTCATTTGACAAAGATACTCCTCTTTTTGTCCTATAATAAAACTATTAATTTAATTTTCTATAAAATATTTTTAAAATATTCAAAATAATTTCAAATGTGTGAGTTTTTCATTCAAAAAACTACCATTATACTAATCAAATGTCTTTATTAAACACAATGCTGTCTGTGTGAGACAGTTACAATGATATTACTATTTTTATTATTATAGCTTATATGTATAAAGTGTTTTGACATGTTTTTGTTTTCATTTAAAAAAAAAAAAAAAAAAAATTTAAAAGATTATTGACTTCATTTTTTGGCTTATTTTTATTTGCTATTATTAACATTTTATGATATTATGCTCATTGTTTAAATAAAAAATTTTACTTTAAATTAAAACTATAAATGAAAAAAACCAAAAAACTTTGAAGTTAAATGAGGTTGTTAATTAAGAAAAAGATATGAATATGATATGGTCAAATATGAAAAAAAACTTTTTTGATTAGTCAAAAAAGAATAAAACAATGTTTTTTTTTTTTTGTTTCTTTTTTTTTTATACAAATAAGAAAAAAGTAAATAAATATCTCCTTATTTTTTTCAAAGTATAAATTCAAATAAAAGCTCAACAGACAAAAATGGAAGCCATAAATTAAATAATTTTATAATTTCCAAAATAGAAAATTGAGTCTAAATATTAGGTAAAGATATTGATAATGTTTATTGAAATATTTAGCTAGAAAAAATTTACTGCAATCTTTCTTCTGAAATCAAAAAATGAATAATATTATAAAAAGCTACAATTATATCAAATATATAAACTAAAAATATATAAACTGTAACTATACAAATATATAAACTAAAGGTTTAAATTAACTAAATAATGTATGCTAATGCTTGCTTGTTTTACAACAATTAATGAAAATCATAATAAAAATCAAGCAACTTGATATATTGAAAATATGCTAATTAAGCTTATCTCATAACAGGATTTAAAATTTTCAATTTTTCTTTTTCTCTGGAGAGTGCCTACAGAGTCAAGCTTTGTCACAACTTGGAATAGTTTGTTGTGGTTTTTATGGCTTTCTAGGTAATTACTAGACTAAAAACTACATCCAGTTAGCTCAGACTCTCATAAAGAAATTTACAAAAATAGGATGCAGAATGTCCTTCAAAGTCAATATCATCTCGACATTTATAGAAAACATGGAAACTTACTTAGAGGAGCAAGATATATTGGACTATAAACATATTACTTGTAATTTTAAGATCATTATAACAAAAACATGATGAGGGATTACATTTTGTGGCATTAGTATACTCAAATATCTAGAAAATAATTTAAGCTGTCTTTGTCAATTTATCATTTAAGTGTTTTATTTAATCAGACTGCATAAATAAAAATATAAAAGTTTTTGTCATAATAAATACAACATTTTGGGGTGTGGTCACTAAACCTATAGTTTTTTATTGAATGTAGTAGTTTTTCCATAGGATTTATACATAAGTAGTTAAAATATAACACTTGAAACAAGTTTATATTTTTAACTGGAAAGAAAGGCCAGGAACAAAAATTATGTTAAGTAATGTTATAGCGTTACGTCAGTGGTAGAAAGTAATGAATTAGATTTACTCACATTACTGTAATAGAATAGTTTTTTTTGTGTATTTCTACGCTTTTACTTAAATTATTTTTTATTAAAGTGATGTACTTTGCTACATTTTAAATCATATATGTTACTGAGAAAAAAAAACTAATATATATTAGTATTTAAATTTACAAAAAATACAACCTAATTTTTTTAGTTGATAAAAATTAGTGCCTGTTTTATAAATTTATTTCCATTTTCCCTATAGTTTTCATTAATGTTTTAAATGAAGTTATGAAGACATTAAACATGCACACTGTATTAAATAATGACATTTATCATATTAATTATATTAATAAACACACGCTTAAAAAAATTACTTAAATATGATAATTGTAAAGAAAAGAATAAACCACATTGTTTATGTTTTGTTATCTGACAACTCTGTTATAAAATGGTTCTTACAAAAGTATTGGAGTAACTATTACTCTGCGTAAATTTTTAAACTTTTTACTTTTACTTGAGTAAACTTTTCGACTTGTAATGTTCACTTGTACTTAAGTAAAATTTTACTCAAGAAACTTTTACTTGATTACAAAATTTTATTATTTTTTCCACCTCTTCATAAAATTGCTACATTAATCATACTAAGTTGTAACTATATTAATAATTATTAAAATTGTTTACAAACATTTTAGTTTTATATAAGTGTTAATAAGCCACTATCGATTTGTAATAATTTCATAAACCAATTAGAGTTGAAACAAATAACTTATCTTTATTTGTATTTCTTAATAGTTTTACTTAAACAGGTGTTTTCTATGCTCACGCACAAACTTTAGAAGGATTATAATGATTCATTTTCAAAGCATATTATATTTAGTAGTTTTGAAAAATTAGTTCAATTCTAAGTAAATACTATTTATTTTCTATTTTTAATGTTTTTATACTTTATAAAACCAATTCTTTTTTCTAAAATGTTTTGATTAAAATCAGTATTGCAAATAATTTGCATTGCAAACAAAGTTGATGGAGAAACTTGACTTCCCAGCCATTCAAATACCCTTTTCAGAATTCAGTTTAAAATAACATTTAACTGTGTTATAAATGGGTATTTTTGAAAACATCCTCTTTAAAGGAAAAAAATACTAAGTAATTTTTTTGCATAATTTATATGATTTTCAAAGCTTGCTTAATGCAAATTTTATAAGATTTTCAAAATCAAAGCTCACACTACACAGATTTTAAATCCTTTTACACACTTGAATTCAAAAAAAAGAGGCAAAAATAGCTTAAAGTTTGTGTCTTGTGCTAAAAATAACTTAAACTTCTTAACAAAACTTAAATTTATAGAAATTTATTTCCTTACAAATAAAAAGGAACTAACTTTTTTTTAAACACTTTTTAAAATTTAAAATCATAATAAATAATGTAAATACAAATAAAACCTTTTTTCATTTTTGTTGGAGTGGCTTCTGATGATAACTGATCAATATGGAGTGCTAGAAAATCTCCAGCAGCATGAGCAATTTTACGCTGGTCACAAAATACAAGTTGTTCAACTAGACTGCATTCTTCTGTATCAAGAACTCCATATCTGAAGTAATTACAAACTCACATTAGAGGATGAGGATGTATGTGAATACATACATACACACATACATACATACATACATACATACATACATACATACATACATATGTGTGTGTATGTGTGTGTGTGTAAAATGGGCATGACGAATTGCTTGTCTTGGCAGCCTTTTGGGGAAGCTAACTGTGCTAACAGAAGCTATCAGTTTAAATTTTTCCTTTTAAATTGCCAACGATGTTTAATGGCATAACAAATTTATTTAATGGGTTTTAAAATACAATCAATTTGTTTAAAATTTACATATTAAATTTATAAAATTTATTTAAACTAAAAATACTTTTATAAGTGCGCCAAAAGAATTTGAAAACATTGGCATAAGCATGATTTTCATAAGTGTGAGCTGGCATAAGTATGAATGGCGTAAGTGCGAACTTGCATAAGTGCAAAGCAGTTGCAAAAACTGTCACAAGTGCCAAATGTATGTCATAAGTGTAAACTGACATAAGTGCACCGAAAGAATTTCTAAACATTGGCATAAGTGCGAGTTTGCATGAATGCAAATTGGCATAAGTACGCCAAAAGAATTTTGCAAACTAGCATAATTGCGAAGCAGTTGCAAAAACTGACATTAATGCGTATTGGCATAAATGCAAACTGGCATAATTGTGAAATGTCAATTTGGACTTGTGTCAATATTTTCAATTTTATTTGGTGCACTTATGTCAATTTGCACTTATGCCGATTTGCGCTTGTTTCAGTTTTTGCAAATTCTTTTGAACTATAGAACTATAGAAAGCTTTGGTAAATTAGTTAAGGCCAGCGTGGATGCAACTGAGAGTTATAGCTAGCTATTTATAATTTAATATAAATTTATAATTTAAATTATTTTATCTACATAAAAATTTGTAGATAAAATAATTTTACTTGATAATGCCTAAAAAACTGATAACACATAAAACAAAACATAACATTACTCTTTTGAGTTTTTATGTTATATATAATAGGGATATGAACAAAAATATTTTATTGTTAATTTTTATTCCCCATGTTATAATAAAAGAAAAAAATATATGCTTAAACAGAAAATACCATAGCAAAGTGTTAACTCCTAAAAAATGTCATTCTCCATGACACCTGACAACATGATGGGTTCCATAAATCAAATTAAAATGGTAAAAAATGTTAGTTTTTTAACAATAAACTTAAAAAAAAATTCATTAAAAATTAATAATTTTTATAAACTTTTTATAGAATTTTGCTTCTTTTGAGACCCAACTTGATATACTTTAGGCAAGAAAAATATTTTTAGTAATATATGGCACCCACCATGTCATTGAGTGACTTTTTAAAATAGTCATATCCCTAATATATATAGCATGTGTTTAAAATGTCTAACTTGTAAAGTATAGAAACAATTTTTATAGCTTCAACTGCTACATCAGTATCCATGTCAAGTGTCATATCAATTATGCGACTCTAAAATAGTTTTCACTAAGTTAGTTTAGTATATAAAATTACTGATAATAGTAAAAAAATAACAACAACAACAAAAAAAAAAACAATATCAAATCAGCAATAAAAAAAATAAAATAAATAAAGAAATACAAAACAATGATTTTTTTATTAACCTTGAACCTTCCTGTAAATAAGACAAGTTGCTCAACCAAATGTTCATTTTTATATAATTCATGTAAAACTTTTAAAACTTCAAGACGAACTTCAGATACCTATAAAATTAAAAATATAAATGTTATATATACACATGCTGTGATTACATAAATAAGTGATCTTCGTAATTTGTCACTTCCCCTACTCAGTTACTTCTATTTGTGACATTTTGGCCTCAGTGATTTGATTTTTACCAATGCAACAAATTATTTACTAAACCTTTCAAGTCTTGATTTTTTAATTTAGAAATCAATGTTTTAGTTAAACTTTGTATTACCATTATGTTCCCTGTCAAAACACATGTGTAAGATATATATCAGAGTTGTTAGTTCTTGGCCTTGCCTTAAAGCCAAAAATTAAGGTCTTGGATTTAAAAATTTTGACCTTGGCCTTAATTGCTTTGGCCTTGGCTTTGATTGTTTTGAACTTGGCCTTCAAAAAAAACAACAACATAAAATTAAAGAAATAAAAGTTTTCATTTTTTATTTTTATGTATTTTTGTTTTTGGGTTTGATATAAATCTACAAGTATATTTTCTTATTGACTTCGTTGAATTCTGCGCATAACCTTGGTGTAATTTCACAAAATGAAGTTTTTTTGTCACAGCACTTGCTACCTACAGTTTTGTTAATAACTGGCCTTAATGTAAGCCAAAAGTCTTTGGTCTTTCAGCCTTGGCCTTAGTACTTTTTGCCTTGTTAACAACTCTGATATATATATATATATATATATATATATATATATATTATATATATATATATATATATATATATATATATATATATATATATATATATATATATATATATATATATATATATATATATATATATATACATATATATATATATCAGTTGTGGACAGGAAAGGCTTGCAATCGTACTCACATTATGACCACACAAGTAATTGTTTTTTAAAGCTTGACCATGGCTTTTTAGATAATTAAAAACACATTGAAAAAAACTACTAACAGGCTAAACTATATATATAAAAAATTAAAACCTATAGTTCTAAAAAAAAGTCAACTAATATAAAAATCTGAAAAACTAAAACTCTAATAGAAAATTGTTTTTAATTATATATTGCATTTACGTTAAGGTTGAATAACTTTTTGTATTGGTGTGATGAGTTTCTAATTTTTTTAATATTAGGAGAATAGCAATTAATATATATTTTTTTTTAAATGTCTAAATAAAAATATTTATATGATTATTTTTTATTTATTCATATATTTTTATATATCAATCAAAAAAAGAATACATAAATAAAAAATAATAATAATATAAATAATTTTAATTAAACATTAAAAAAAATTAAAAGAATTTTTTAAAATTTTCTTAATACATAAAATTTCAGTTGATAACTTTTTCAAACCAATGTGGCAAACTATAAAACTTCAATATTTTTTAATGTTTTTATAATATTAGACAAACTCTTTTAAATAAAAAAAAAATAACTTACATCTAATTATCATTTAATAAAAAACTAACTTTATTTAAATTATCAAAAAGTATTTTTAAAAAAAGTTTATTAAAATGCATTTGTTGCCGTCATTGTTTATAAAATTAAGAATACAAACTGTTTAAAAAAAAAAAAAAAAAAAAAATCATCATTAAGAAAAATTTTTTTAAATAAAAGCATTATTTAATATTCCATGATAATTTTTTTTAATAACGTTTTTAAAACTTTATTTAAAAGCATTTAAGTGTAAAAAAATTTTATTAGAAAATTTACATAATATAACAAAAAAATAAAAATAAATAAATAACTTTATGTTTTTGACTATTAAATTTATGGATTCACCAAGAAGTTAATTAAAAAAAACGTTTTAGTTGTTGTTTATGAAATTAATTGTTCAAATTGTTTTAAAAATATTTACAATCATCGTAAAAAATATGCTTTTTAACAATATAATATCTTTCGATAATTTAAATAAATATCTTTTATAGCATACAATCTTTAAAAACCAATTTTTTGCAGTTTTACCTTAAACTTTATTTAGCACATTTTTCAAAATCTAAAAAGCCATGGTTAAGTTGTTGCAAAAAATAAATAAATACGTTGTCAGGAGTGCAGTGCGATCACACGCCTTTTCTACCCACGACTAAAATATATATATTGCATAAATATTTATTCTTTAGTTTTTTTTATTAAGTCAATAATAGTAACAAAAACATACTTCACAAGGAACCTGACAAGTATCATTAAAATACCAATTATAAGATCCTAATATTTTAAAATTAAGTAACAAAAAACTTCATAAAAATTTTTAGGCTTTCTGATATTTAAAAATAAAGATTACTTTATCATAAAGTGTCCATCCCAGGTACTTCAAATTTTCTTTGAGAAAGTAATGACTAAAAAAAATTTTAAAATAAATATAATTAAAATATAAAATAAAATTTTTTAAAAAAATATAACCTATTTAACATCCATATTTGAAGTATATCATTACACACCATTATGACAACTCATTAACCTAATAATTAAATAAAGGAAACTTTCAGTACCTGTATTTTATCATCCATATGCCCATTTCTGAAAAACAGAGCAATCTAATTTCAGGACGAATATCTCTAAACAAAAAATTGTTTGAAATAATTCAAAAAATATGAAGTAAACAAGTTTTTTTATCAAGTGAAGCTATTTTAATATAGATAAAACACCCAATATTTGCTTTAGATGCTATAAAATTTTTTCTTAAAATAATAATCTTTTTTATATAAAAAAAGTATATTCGACTGCAAAAAAAAATTGATTTCTATAGTTGAAATAAAATATGATTTTTGAGAAACTACTGTGTTAATATTTGTAAAACTCTGTTAAAAAGAGATTTTTTTAGATTTGTAGAAAATAGGAGTAAGGAATAAGACAAAGTTACAAGTATAATAAAAAGAAGCAACCTTAGTGTAAGCAACCTTAGTGTAAGCAACCTTAGAAGCAACCTTAGTGTAAGCAACCTTAGAAGCAACCTTAGTGTGAGCAACCTTAGAAGCAACCTTAGTGTAAGCAACCTTAGAAGCAACCTTAGTGGGTATTGATTTTAATAGATATAATATATGAAGATTATCTAAGAAGATACAACATGAGAGATTAAGATTTGGATATTACCAATAACAAATCAGCTGTTGAATGAGAGGACCATAGATAATTAGTAAATTATTAGATTCAAAGTAAAATATTGTGTATTAAAATCAAATAAAAGATGACTAGTTGAAGGATAGTTAAAAAGTAATTTTTAAAATAGGAATAACAGATCTGAATCTTGTTATTGCTTTTCAGTATGCAAGAAAACAAGATTCAGATCAACATAGTTTTAATAACTTTGAGAGTTTAAAAAAAAAAGTTTAAAAAAAAAAACTGTATTAGATATGTTGTCTTGAGAGCAAGCTGAAGAAAAGTCTAATAGAAAAAAATTAATAAGAGTAATTAAAATGTCTGAAAAATGATTAACTTGTTCATCAGTAATGTCAGAAATAGTGCTGCTCATTAAAATTAAGAGAATTGAAAGTGATGAACAGAAAAATTCTTTTCAAACATATCAGTCTTATTCGTTGGAAACTTAAAAATATCTGACTCATTCAGAAGTAACACAATATTTTAAATGTAATTGTAAATAATAGATTAAAGATTTTTGAAGTCTCATATGATTTATTAGTCTGAGAATGAATGAACAGAAAATAAAGAAACAGAAAAATCTCAGTCAGTTTTAATTAGTAGTATAAAGTACATGGATAAAGGAAACCTAATGGGAAATAAATAACATTTAAAACAATTTTAAGTTAATGAATGAGCTAAGAGTTAACAGTATTCTGAATAATGCTTCTGATATTAAAACTGACTCTAATCAATGAATGAACAGAGGTTTGGTTAATGAACCACTCTACAACACAACCAACAATTTAAATCATGAATTGGAAAAATTGAGCTATGAAAGAGATCACTGTATATATGCTTCAAGTAATGTCAAGAAACATTGCAACAAAGATTGCTTCTGTGAACAGAAGCAGAGTGTTTTTGAGAAAGTTCTTGATTCGTATTGAATACCAAGCCATTCTTCTAGAATATTTTCAGAACTGCTAGAATTGCCCAGAGGGTCCTAGAACTTTCCGGAATATCTAAGAACTTTCAAGAAACCTTTAGAACTTTTAAGAAACTTCCAAAAAATTCCAAAACATTCTTGTTTAAAACTGTCTAAAAGTACTCATACAAGTAAAATACAAGTGACTTGAACCAACTTTTCAGTTGGTGCTATTGGTGAAAAAAAGAATATATAATAATAAAGAAGAAAAAAAATTGTATTTCAAGAATATTTAATTTGAATGACATTAAGCGGTTGTTTGGACATCAAGCGATTGTTTGCATCCAGCAGGTACATTTTACTACATGTGAACTAAAAATTATGTGAAGCTGGTTCAGACTCTCATTAAGAACTATGCAAAAATGCAATGCAGAATGTCACTTATCAAAGTCCATGGGAACTTACTCAAAGGAGTAAGGCGATTACTTATATTGATATACTGGACTTATATATACTGTCATTTTCAAGGAAAATGACAGTATAACTTTTTACATTTCTGTCTATTTAATATCCAAGTATTACTTCTTACCAAGCCAAATTAACAAAAATTGTAATTTTTCTTGTAGCCTAAATAAAAATAAATTTCTTTGTGCTGTGGTCATAAAATCAAAGTTTGTACTCAATTAAGTTATTTTTCTACAATATTGAAATGTAAGCAATTGAAATATAGCACTTTGAATCCAAGGACAAAAACTTTGTTCCATAGAGCTATTAATAACACTCTTATATAAAAAAAATTATATATTTTTTAGAGTATTTATTTTAAATATAAGATCAGTGGCAAATAAACAAAGTCAAAAAAAGGCTAAAGTTAAAGCTTAAAATAGTTAGTTTTTAATAAAAAAACACTAAAAAATACATGTGACTCAGAGCCCTAATTTTATGATAGAAAATTTATTAAAAAAAATAATGGAGGCAGGATTTCATTTTCATTGGAGTGTTTCTTATAACATAAAATTGGAAACAATCAATAGAATTTGTTCTAACAGGTCTTATTTTGATTGCTTAATCATTGGGAGGATAAAGTTGTTTTGATAGTTGTTTTACACTATTCTAGTTTGAAAAAAAAAATAAATAAATAAAAAAGATCAAATAAAAACATATATCTATTTTTACATGGTGTAAATTTACCTATATCTTGCAACAAAAATCGAGTTCAGAATATGATTCATCAAATCTTCCAAACGCTCCTGGTTTTGCTTTAGCTATACAAAAAATAAAATAAAATAAAAAAAACAGTTAAATAGATTACATATATATATGCACCCACATATATATGTACATACAAACATACATATACATACATCAGCACACAAAGTAAAAAATCAAAGGTAGGCAGTCAGTTTGACTGGCTTACATGTTGAAT